AAAATCTCCCAATTGGGATGTCACAAAGAACATTTTTCAGGTTACTGAAGATGATTGAAAAGACTTGGCGTGGGGGGGGGGGGGACTCCTGGGCAAGATTTTCACAATCTCTTTAAGAAAGTGCTTTGTATTATTTCCCAACAAATTCTCTGAAAGGAATTTGAAGAGTTGTCCTTTACTGCAGTACAGCCCTTCAACATCAGTGAAACTTGTGGAAAACACTTGAACTCCGCAGAGCTCTTGTCTGCACTCAGAGCAGCCTGGCCCTAACAACTGAGTCAGTAAATGACAGCTGGGTAAAAACTGGGCTAAACAGGCTATTTCCAGAGACTAAACAGGCAGAAATGGATGGCATTGTTCAGAATGTAGCATTGTAGTAAGGCGGGTAGCATTACTGGGCATGTGTATGTTTTCACAGTCTTCCATACTATTATTATTATTATTATTAGTTAGCACTACTTTTGAAGTGCTAACTATATTAAAAATAGATTTAGATATTGATTTGTATCTGGAAAACAATACTGTCATGCAAAAAAAAAGTAATGACACCCCATTAAATATTGAGTTATTTTTCACTTATTTCACTTATTTGATGACAGGGAAATGATTTACTCGTTATGCATCACAAACATAAAATATATGCATCATGACACCCTGTTTCTTAATGTTTGTCTGCCTAATAAGTTTGCATTGGTCTTTATAATGCTGTCGCTGTTCAGTAAGAAAATCTTTTTTCAAAATATGTAAAAAAAAAACAAAAGTATGCAGACTGTTGTAGGGTCTCCTAAATTTTTCTTATTGTGAGTGGAATTCACAATCACAAGAAAACATGGAAAATATGCTAAAATGGGTGATAATTTTGTTATATCAAAGCAAAATACCACCTCTTGACTGGTTTATCCAAAGGCCAACTTTCTTTCAGAAAAATTTTCGGAAATTATAATTTATAGCACATTCTGGATTTCTTCACTTACAATAAGAAGGTGCAGTTAGTTTGACCGTAAGATCAGTGTTTTCTTTCTGAATATGCAATAAGAGTTTTCAGACAGCAGGGGGCAGGAACGATAAAAGCATAGGCTTGTCTTTGCTGCCGATTATGATCACAATTCAAACACTGATGTTCAATATGGTTAACTGCCACTGAAGTAGACACATGGTTTTCTAACATAAATGCGTTCTGGCCACAGATAAAGTGTGGAAAAGTGGACCTATTAGGTTCAATTATGTAAGTGATCGAAAGGTGAGATCATACAAATATATTATCATGTGTTAGGAAATAAATTCAGATGTGAATAAGTGAGTAAAAAGTAGATTTGATCTGTGAGCCAAAAACAAAGAATGTTCCACTTCATCTTAATATTCACAAAAAATGTATTTGCAATATTGTTGTTTCAGGCCATCGCTCCTCTGTGCACCAGAGCAATTAGGTGAGGAAAAAACAAACAAACTCTTAAACAATTGAATCATATTTTCTCCAGTATTTTCATTTACAGTCTTTATGGAAACATAACTATTCAGAAAATTACTGGTTTTACTTGTAAACAGTTCCCAGTAAACATGTTCATATTTTCAACCTTTTCACATTTTGTCACATTAGAACAGCACAAATACATTACAAACCAAAACGTGTTTTTTAAATAGTGTGTAATAAATTGACACAAAGCATCCATCCCTCATCAACACATGCTCGTTCTTTCAGGGTGAAAGGCAGCAGTCATTGGGTAAGAGATGGGTCACACCCCAGATGGGTCACCAGGCTGACAAAGGGCAACACAGAGACACACAGGACTAACAGCAAAGCACACAAGAAAAGGCAATTTAGAGAAATCAATCAAGAGTCATGTTTTAGTATTGTGGGAAAAAGCCAGATCACCCAGTGAGAACCCACGCATGAACTGAGAGAACATGCTTCATGCAAAAAATAAATCATGCTGTGATTCAAACCCAGGGCTTTCTTACTGTACTATAAAGGCCAAACAACACAGCAGCAGTAAGTTGGGGATAAAGTTATGGAGCAGTTGAAAGCATGGCTCAGTCCTTTATCCAACAATAGGAAGAGTATGGCATGACTGCAAACTAACCAAATCAGAGGTTCACCTTTCAGCAGGACAACAGTCCTGAATATGGAGCCAGAAGAACAATGAAACGGCATGGATTAAAGCATGTTTATGTGTTAGAATGGCCCAGTCATTGTCCAGACATACATAATTGATTTAATGTGACAAGACTTGGAAGCATCTGCTCTCAATCCAACCTTACTGCAAAGACTTACGGCTATAAAGCAGTGAAAGGTGTGTAAAGTATTCACTCACATGCGATGAATACAAAGACATACCACACTTTTCAGATTTTCACTCTAATTTAGGAAAAAGTTTTCCACTTTATTATTATTGTTCTTTCTGCTGGTCCATAGCAAATCATTTTAATCTCTCATTCAAAGTTTTTCATCAAAAGACTAGATAGAGTCTAAAGATTGTAATAATTAAGATTCTGTTTCTCTTTTCAACTCGTTCTTTTTCATGCTTTGAGACAAAAGGCAAACAATAATACACTTGTTAATGTTTACAGCTCAATCTGAATATCTATGAAATAATGAGTCAGGCAACTTTTAACACCCACCTAAACCTAGAGGTTTCAGGAATGGCCTTATCTTAACGCTTGACTAACTTCCATGGCCGATATTTTAAACTGCTTTGAGCAATTTTTCTTGCAATTTAGATTAGTTTTGTCAAAGCAGTAAACTTTAACCCTAGCTTAATTTATGTGTGGAGCATGTCCAAACAGACTCCTTTGTAAGTGTCTGTCCCCACGGTTACACAGAGAAAAGGGCAGGAATGAGACTCAGCTGTTGTGTTTAATGAAAATTGCATTGTTATCATTTTGTAGGAGTCATCCACAATGACCCTATGCTTCTAATAACTCATCACCCGGTGCATTATATTTGTAACAGTTATTAAACTGTAAAAAAGTGTATCATTGTTAGGTTATTCAAAATACTTTTTTTAATTCCTGAGATGAATTAAAATGGTCTTATTTGATTATTCAAATGCATGTTTTACAACGAAACCTACATTTTAAGAATACAAAAACAAACTAAACTTGTTTTTATATACTTTTTCGTATTGATTTTACTCAGACACATGTAATCTGTGTTTTTCTTTTGAAACAAGACCAAATTTGTCTCCTGGAGCCAACAGGCCAAACAGAAAATATCTGATTCCAATCATTTTTGTGTTATCTTATATTTTCTGAGACACATCAAACCCTCAGAGTGAAAGCAGAACTTTTTCCAAGCTTTAAATCTGATAACTTCACTCTCTGTTTGCACACCTTAACCATCAATCATCTTGACAAGATACATAGCAAGTTATCCTTTGCAACATCCCAGTGCAATGTAGCAGTTTTATTAGACTTTATGGAGTCCCATAAAAATGTACCAGAACTTTAGATACACCTTATCTAGTTTCAGGAACATGCATATAAACTGATATGTCAAAAGAAGAGATGTGAAAAACATCTGGTTAGTATCAGTAAATAAGTGTAAGCATGTTGTGGTAGGCTGTGTGAAAAAAATAAAAAATCCTAGATAGAGTGAGAAGCCCCCCCACCCTTCCATTTTTTAATCAGGAAAGGGGGATTCCCAAAGGTTTGCATGTGCCTGGGTGGAGGAGAGTTTGGGGGACTGGATGGGCTTCACATTCCTGTTGGATGGCATCAGACTTCCCATCAGAGGAGCTGGAGGAATTTGGAAAACAGGCCCCCATTTTCCAAAGCTGAAATATAAGAAAAGGAATTTCTGAAATAGAGCAATAAAAGTACTCATTCTTATTGGTCATTTGCCATTTTCAGATAAATTATTTGTAGTTCAGGGCCGATTTCAGGTTCATCTGTCAGTTAAGAGGAAATGCAGCCAATTTGGTGGTATGAGTTACACTCAGTGTTCTAGATAGTGGATGACACAGGACAGCTGTGGCTGACCCTTAAGCTTTTATTTGCATTACTGCAAATGAGCTCTGCAGTAAAAACAAGAAAAAAAATCATTGATGACAGAGGGAACAATGTAAAGGGCATGATGGATACGAAGTGAACGGCTGAATACGATGAGGATGGTTACCAGACATTCCAATGCAGTGACACACACTCACACACGGCGGGCTTCTGCAGAACCACGGTCATTGTCCTTCTGTCTGCTGGTTCATGCTGCTAAATAGAAGAAAGACAAAGCTGTTTTGAAGTGCTGTCGGAAACATTTCAATTACTCCTATAACATACTATGAGCACAAAATAAATTGGAAAATGAGTGGATTTTAAAATTAATTTGTACATCAATTTTAAGGTGCTTTATTATTATTATTATTATTATTATTATTATTATTTTTTTTTTTTTAAAGTATGAATAGTATTAATCCCTTTATCTCTTTTGTATTAAACCCAGAAGCCCTAGTCTCCTGGTTTTAAGACAAATGAAAAGCAAGAGAAGTCTTACTTTTACTAGTACTTCAGTATAAATAATTTATTTATTATATGGAGAGTGCACAGACAGTTCCTTAAAGGGATAGCTGAATTTTTTTACAGTAGAATTCTATTAAAAATTCATTAACAACAAATATTTTTCTCAGCAGTGAGACTTTAGCACTTTATAGAGTGTTTATATTGATAAAACTTTACTGAAGGCTGAAGTTTTTTTTCTTCTTCTGCTGTAAACAACTACAGTCTGAAAAATAAAAACTAACTTTAAAACGATGTCATGCTAGCATCGTACTTTTAAATGTTAAATCTCTACCTCATCCTGTGACACACCAGTGTTTTGAGGGCTTAAAGGACAGCAGGGTGCCCCTGGCAGCCGTTTATGACCTGGGCTGGCTCTGCTTAGAATCACCGTCTATCTTTTACACCAGTTGACTGAATCCTCCTTTAAACCTTAAAACGTCCAGACAGCCCTTTTTGTGTGTACCAGCCAGTTCGTGATTAGTTTTTCAAAGAAAATTTTGAATTTTCCAATACTTCGGTGAGCACGTGAATGCACCACAGAGGATAGCGAGGTGTCCCACATCAGCACGAGCTGCAGCGTCAACTGTCTCTACTAGGGTTGTGAAGCAGAGTCCCAGTCAAAGACAACCAAGCAGCGAGCTGAACTCCTGTGTCGATTTGGTTGATGCTGAGGGAATTTTAAAGAAAGACTGCTGGGTAAGTGTGCGAACTGCCACCTCAGACAACTTTTATTACGTTTCTTTGCACGAATCGTTGGGTTCCGAGAGCGGTCGCTTTGAAAAGTTGTTTGGCAGTGAAGTTCTCTCAGAGCTGCTGGACGCTGAAGTTGTCGCTTTCAAACAACGTTTGTTCGTACGTTAGAATCATCTTGTATGCCCCCTCAAGTTTGACTGACAACTAGAAACAGAAAGTTTCATGAAGAGGATGATGACGGGAGTTTATGTGGTTTGTGGTTTTTCGAGATTCCCCGCGCGAGAAGAATGACAGAAAAGCACGTGCTAAGAAGAGCTACGGTTATATTAATGTCCCCGCCAGATTATGTGCCTTTTAATTTTGCCCAAACTTTCATGTTTTCATGTGGTGTATAGCCGGGTACAGCTATCTCTGTCATCCTAACAGCAGGTGGTGTCAGTTTTAAACTTTGACAGGTGATGTCAGTGTTTACACTGGGGGTTGCCCTGGAGGACTGGGGGAACTAGTATCTTTTTTGTCCTAGCAAGAGATTAATCACTTTTAAATTGAAGATAAAGGGCTCAGATCATGGGCGTCGCCAGCTTAACGTTGGAGGTTTAGCCCCATCCTGGGACAGAAGTGCCACAGTCTGACAATACAAATTGTGAAAACAAACAAGAAGCAAAACATTCTCACACACACACACACACACACACACACACACACACACACACACACACAAAAAACAAACAAACAAACAAACAAACAGATGTATATATAAAATGCGTACAGAAAAAAAATAAATTAAAATGTATACAAATTAATTTGAGATGCACAACCAAATAGGTAAGTCACAAAAACGTATCTTCAATGTGCCTTGTCCATGGCAGCTCCTTCCAGTGACTGTGCTAGTTAAGACTGACAGACTAAATAAATTCACGACGTGTTGCTACATAGAATTATGAAATAGGCTACTTAAAGAAAAAAAATGAAATGATTTTATTTTAAAATATTTGTTTCAAATTTGGCCAAATTGTTTCAGCATATATAAAATGTCACTATCTGTTAATATTAGCACATTTAAATAAATAGCTATTTGTAATGATATATATTTTTGTTAGTTATTGAATTTTTGTGTTCTTAATTTTATTTTCAATAACTGAATAAACTAAATGTTTATTCCATTGATTCTAAATATTGATTCTGAATTAGGACACTTTTGACACACGCACACACAGATATATATATATATATATATATATATATATATATATATATATATATCCTAACCCACAGCTGAGGTTTTATTTATTAATTATCCTTTGCAGGTTGCATGGAGGAGCAGTGTTTTTCATCAGTGCCTTGCAGCTAGAAGGTCCCAGGTTCAGACCCCAGCCTGGGTCTTTGTGCATGGATTTCACATATTCTCCCTGTGCATGCATGGGTTTTCTCTGGGTACTTCTTTCCACTGTCTAAAACCATGACTGTTGGGTTTCTTACTCTAAACCCACATGCAATTTACCTACCGACAAAAACCTCTCTTCGCTTTACTATTATGAATTTGGCACAGGTCAGACAGAAAGCAACTACTTCAATTTTTCAAGTCTCATGCAAAACATTTAAACATAGAAAAAAAAAACCTTCCAATTTCTGTAATGCAGCCCCTTGACGACAGCGATTACCAGTCTGTGCTCACTGTGTGCTAAATAATTCAAGTCATAAACAGTGAACACACTGTGAAATAGGTGCTGCTTGCATAAGATATATCATATTTTTGTTTATGAATTTAGGGGACGATGCCAGAAAGGAAACGGACCCCCTCTGAAGTCTCTAACAGTTATTATTGCTGTTCAGAAACCACTGGGAAGTCTCCCTAGATGACGAGGCCTAGCAACACCTGTGTTTCTTACGACGTGCCAGCAATGTTGCATGTTGTATTAATTGAAGTAATACTTGGCTAACAGAGAAAAACAAAACAGTCCAGGTTTCAGGCCTGTATTTACACAGCCAAGAAAGGTCTGTGTTTCCGGTAAACGCATAATGAGGTGTACACTGTTGTAATGGCTGTGTTGAAACTGATGTTTTACAGACTGACATTAGTTTGTGGTGTTTCCATTACATATCTTACCTTGTTTGAAACAGATTAATTGGTAAAATAGTTGAAACATACATTAGCATGACACGCTTGGGCTCTAAAATTGAACCAACATCTCCTTCCATACAGCATTATATAACTGAACTTATAACTTAAGTAGTTGTTTAGGAACAATTGTAAAATGTTTAAAAAAATTTGCTAACATATAAAACAAACAATAACATCCGTTGACACCGTTACTCTTTAGAAATGTTGCATTTAAATGATTGAGGGCAAAGGTTTGTTCTGATGATGAACCTGCAGCAGACAGGGATGACTGGTTGGACTTGTTCGTTCTGCTGTATTGCGACTCCACATACTGAATGGATGACAACACAGTCATGTTGTGTTTACGAACTGTCGAGTTTGTCAGGAACTGCTTGTGGGCTTACAGGCAAGCAGGCCTGAGGCGATGAGATGATAAACGGAGATAAATTCAGGGCAATCCCGGATGGAAACTCTGTTAGAGGCTGAGAATCTTTGTGAAAGTTCTAACAGACTCTCTAAACCCAATCTGACTGAACTTGTGCTACTTTGCAAAGATGGATAGGCAAAAGTTTCAGTCTCAAAATGAGTGAAGCTGTCAGAAATATGCCACGGAAGACTTAATTGCAGCTATTGCAGTACTGGTTTAATGGGGCAGAATGCAAAGGTATGCAACACATTTCAGTTTTTAAATTTAAAAAGAAGTCACACTATGTATTATTATATTCGTATTTCTCAATTTCGCTCAAAGGAGTGCATAATTGTGAAATAATACAAGTGTATTTTTGTGTATTTTACTTCACAAAATTCCTGTGAAATAGATCAAACTTTTTAGTTTCAACTAGAAAACTTAAAAATACAAAAGTTTAAGGAATCTTTTACGGGGGTGCTGTATATTCTGTTGGAAACCTGCTTTGCTGCCACATGCAGATTAGTCACTAACCTTGTTGGGATTAAATGCTTTGGGTATTTTTTCAAATTTAACAGCATTAGGATTAAAGTAAAACCATGTTAACCCCACAAAAATCACTGCACTTAAACTGTGACAAATTATCCCAGCGTGAGTTGTGATGAATAGAAAACCGCTTTCTTTTGGTTAAAGCTGCACTCCTTTGAATTTGTGTGCTGTTTTTTGAGCTGATTTTATGTTGAGTGGATATTTTCATCTGTTTGGATCAATATTTCATGATGCAGTTTTGGCTGTAAGTTATTTTCAATTAAGCATAAAATAAAGAATTTATGTGTTTTAGATTATTAATTACTTACAATTAAATACTGCCTATATGGAAAGTAATGATTTAAAAAAAACCTGTAAGGCTTCAACGTTAAATGCGATGCGGTTGAAAACTTGGGTGCACCTAAGAAAAATTGTTAAGCACATCAGTGCAAAACGTTGGTCTGGAGCTCTTAAAATGCACCAGAACTGAAATCCTCATGTTTTCAGTGTGCAAACCTTTAGAATGACAGACTGCTATTTGATATTTTCATAGACATTTAAAGCAGAATAAGGTTGTCAAAAGCTTTGCCAACGAATGCAACAGTGTCTTTCACTAAGGTCAGAATTTCTCATAAACAATCATGATCTCACTTATTGATTGAAATTATCACAAAAATATACATTTTGGCTATAGGAGATCATAATAAGAATGACCTAAAAAACTTTGCTGAGAGTTATTGCTTAATACTAAGAACAAAAAAGGGGAAAAAAAGCATGAAATAAAATGAACTAAAGACAGACTTTCTGTCTCATTATTGTCTCCGACAGCAAGGAATCCATATTTTAATAGAAAAAAACAACATTTTGAAAGGAAACAGATATTTGGTCATATGGTCGCAGTAAGTTTTTCACCATATGCAAAGCATAATATGGACTCCAGTGTCATTCATGGTCCACATGTGTGATGTTGCCTCCCTTTCTCGGCTGCTCAAGACAAACATTCACACTGAGACAAAGGGGAAGCCTTGTTTAGCTTTCTCCTAAGTGTGAGTTATCTTCCATGCACAAAGTTCACACACACACATCCCATTCAAGGCTTCATTCACTGAAAAATCCAGTTTGCTCTCAGTCTCTTGTTACAGACTGGGCACTTTTCTCTTTTCTGAGTAGTTTCCATTGCCGCCTCTCTTTCAGCCCTGCCCTCTAATCAAATCCATATGTCCTACAGATCCCTTGCATGAACACTCTGTTCTGTTTGCAGCAGCGCTCCCCATGAAATCAGCCTGTTACTTTTTGACTGACAGAGAAAGTCCTTGTTCATAATGAGATATGTTTGTTTAATTATTTAACCAGCAAGTAGAAAAGCTCCTAGAATCCCTTTTACTAGAGTATCTGTCTCACAATATGCAGCTTCCAGGGCCAGTGAAGATAAAACCACAATATACACACACACACTCTTCATATTAATGGATATTTAGAATAAAAGTTAACTTCAAAAAGATGGCATTTTGATGTTTCATCATCTTCGATTTAATATGCCTTCATCGTGTTGGCAAATTTGGGCTCCTATAAACTGGTCAATGATTTGCTCTGCGTTGCTGCATCATGATGTTTTATGAGCTGTTTTTGTGCCTGGTTTGAGTAGCAACCCTTATGAAATGTTTATAGCTGTTGGATTAGACCAAACAATCCTACCACATGAAGGTAACCATGGAGAACGGTTACAATGCACAACAAAAAGCACAACCTTGACCTCAGTGAAATATCTACGACCTTATGTGATTGTTATTTTATAAAAATATTCCACCAATCTTTATTTTGCAGCCTTGTGAGGAAAAAGAAAGAAATCACCAAATATGTGGCATCTCAGGGAACAGTTTGATGGGACATTGTGGATCTTTTCTCCAGTTTTAAAGGCTATCAAATAGGAATTTCTTATTTAAGCGTAACATAGCAAAGGGATTTATGCAAATGTTTGTAAACAAGGAATTAGTTTGTTAATTATGTGGTGCTAGCTAGTCAAAACACACATGATTAGATTTTTTTTTAAGTTAAGTATCTCAGTTAAGTAGTTGACAAATTAGTTTCTTGAACAAAAGCAATTAAAATATGCTATTCTAGATGTGGATGTTAATATATTCACCTCACTGTGTATTTTCAAAGTAAGTCATATTCCTTTAAGAAATATGACTGATTTACAGTCACATGACACATTTTCTTGACTGATCCCTGCTTTGGTACTACTGGGTCAAATCAGATTGAGATATTTATGCATAACCATAATGTGGATCAGCAAGCTTCATAGAAAAAACCCAAACTGTATTTTTTAGTTTTCATTATGCTGAATAGCATCTAGTTTATTATACATAAACTGGTCGAGTCATAGTAAGAAAATAATTCGGAAAAAATGTGTCTTTAAGGACAATAACTTTTCTTTGAAGATTATGGTTTTGTATTGTTTAAAGAAGTAGTTTGCAGTACCTTTTACACTTAAGGGCACATTTCCAAGTTATCAATTTAATGGTTTGGTCAGATTAAGAGTGGCATTAGTATGTGGCTTTACAGAGCTGTGACTCTCTCATTTTATTTGTGTCAAAGAATTTGTGGCTGTTATAATATGTGCCATGAAATCTGCATCTCATTTGCTTGCAGTTGAGTTCAAGCAGTCTCTTCCAATTCCACTCACACCACAAGCTGTATTATTTTTTTCCCTTGCTCTGAGTTTTGCAGAACAGAAAAAGGGAATTCCTACCTCCCCTGACCTGCCTATTACATTTCAGGAATGTTCCTGATCCTAAACTAAATCTTTGCATGAAGTATTTAGTGGAGTAATTTGGGGGATAAAAGCCAAGCTTTAATGCAGCTCTCCCTACATCTTTTTGAACGCTGATTGTGTTATGTTGACAATAGTCTGGAACTAACTATTCACGACTGTGAAGTGTGAAGTTTTCATCCACAGCCGCTTGTTGATTATGCTTTACTTTCCTGTGCTGTGTGTGAGGGTGGGTCTAATCACATACCAGGCTTTGAGTCATCGTTTGGATGAGTTGGAGGGAAATAATCCCTGCTGAATGAGCATTATAAAAAAGCCTTTCATGTGAGAGAGAAGTCCCCCTATTGAGGGGATAAACAGTGATTTAGGCCAGGGTTTCACCTCCTTAAATACAAACTCATTAAAACAAATTACTCATTAGAATACCAGAAGGCTCCCCATTGTAAACGGACAGTAGTTGAATGTCTTGGGTTGAAAAATAAACTGTGGCTTTTGTCTTGCTGTCGGATTTGATTCAAGGCTTTATTATTTGATATTTGACTTCTTTTTATCCATCATCTCTGTGATGTGTTCTGGCACAGGTAGTCAGGCAATCAAAGGCGGTTTTGACTCCTTTTCAAGATGTTAAACTTGATTTCTGGGGCTGTACTTTAATCATATCAGTGACTAATGTGAAAACTTAAAAATAATCTCATGTTCATTGGTCGCTGAACTTGCCTTAGAAGGTCCATTCCTTGTATTTTTTTAATCTCAGTCTGTCTCTGACACACTCACACACTCTTGTAGATTAACAAGAACACCATAATCAGAAAACTTGGCTTTTTCCAAACACCTTGACTAAAGGAGATTTTAAATTTAGGTTTGGAGTCAGGCAGAGAAAATGCAATGCCATGTAAGTAGTATTTATTTTTTGCCTAAAAGCTATATCAGAAGATTTAAGAGATTGTGAAACTGAAATTTGCCCCAGTCCTAGTTCTTGTATCTGCTTGACGTTCCTGTATATAATGTGGGAAGTGAAGTAGAAGTGATTGAACATTTTCTTGGTCAGTGCACTTTACTCTGTGTGACCTGGTTTCCAGTCAATGGGTGTGTTTGCACATGTCTGTCTACCGTTCTAGCCTTGGGCTGAGATTTAGCCTGGAAGAGCCATTTGATTTCCCAGTCAGGGTCAAAGTTCAGCTGATAGCAGAAGCCACTTTTAAACATGTGGGAGATGTTTTTTTTTTAGGTTTACTATCTGGAAAGTTGAGTGCATTCATCACCATAACTGACTATGTTTCTTTTCATGGTATCATAAAGAAAGCTGGTCATTACCTTCTTTGATTTGAAAATAATTTTAAGCAATAATACCAGTCACTTGGATAATGTACCTATGCCAAACATCAAAAGAGATGTTTCCATGTTGAAAGTCTATCACATTTTAATTTCAGAGATTTAAATATTTGCTCAGCTTGCCTCTGCAGAAGTGAAAACTGCAGTGTGCTTCAGATAGCTAAAACACTTCCGTAGGTTTGTCCTCTTAACCCATAATCGAGCGGGTTCCTGTCATACCATGTGTCACCTTCCATCTTAAACAACATCAGGGCAATGACAACACAAGCTCACACACATGTCAGTATTCTTTGCAGTGTTGTTTGCTGTGCGTAATGTGCTCAGTGGTTTTAAACATGGTTTTCATAATACGCCTAAGGTAGGTGTTAGCAAAATTATTTGTACCAAACATGATTCCAGGTAACTTGGATTAATGGCATGTCCATACAGGTTTCCAGAAAGACAGGTTAAAAAGAATGATTTAGGGCACAAATCATGAGTCTTTATGTTTCAAGGTAGTTATGACTACCTGACTATCAGGCAGGTTGTTTTTGCTAGCATTTCATGAAACAGGTTGCACCTGTTGGTTCTCTGAAGCACATTTAGTTTTCACTGCTTTCTCTGGTCAACTTTTCCAAAAGATAACTCGCTAATTAGTCTTCTGTAATATGAATCCAAAATGTTTATTGTTTTCAGTCTTCTTCAAATGTCACAAATGTTGCTCTTGTTAAACATGTTTCACACAAAAGAAAAAAGTTATGATACAAAATAGCTCAACTCCAACAAACTTTTACTCTCCACAGGCAGCTTTTTGTATTCCTAAACTGTTTAGAAGATAATTAATTTTGTGAAATTTGTATAATTAGGAATGCGCTCGTCTCTGTTGATTCATCATGCAGTATGCTGGGATTATTGTTTTGTCACTGATTGCTTAAGTGGTGCTATCTTTTGGCCAAAGGTTATCTCTTTGTGAGCAATCCATTTAATTGAAAAGCCTCTAACTGGAAGTAGAGATTTATTTTGAAGGTGAAGTGTCACATTTATTTTTTTTCTGAAAGGAGTACTTGTCTGTTTCGATTCTTTGACAGACTCTCCGACTGTATGAATGTAGCACAGAGCCTTGAAAAAAGTCAGCACACATCCTCACCTTGATGTGTTTGTTTGTGTCCTTCTTTCTATCATGCAAAACCCACACCTCATGTCTGGAGAGCCCTTCCTCTTTCGGCCAGGCCCACATTCCAGCTGTGGCCCACACGTTTTAGCAGGAAACTGTGAACTGGTCTTTGTAATTATAAGCTTTCAGGTTTTTTTCTTCTTTTTGTTTTCACAAAATCATTGTTGGCCACTGTAGAAGCCCCAGAACCACACAATCAGTATTTGTGCATGCTGTAGGTTAATATGGATGTTTTAAAATGTGTTTAATTCTTACAGGTAAAATACTGAGACAGCTCTGGGTCACTTAATTTACAAACAGAATAAGTCAAGAAAAGTTTTTCCATGCAAACAGTGCCAATGTAGTTCTTGTTTGTTTTAGCAATTTGTGTTAGAAATGCTGGGTTTTGATGTGATGTCTCCAAAAACAGTGCCTGTCAATGCCCTGGACAAAGAAGAAGGATTTTTTTCCCTTGCTTCTGGCGTTCTAGAGTTAAAATTGACCATCGTGGGTCTGTGTGTGGCTGTTGCTAAGACTTATATTTAGAAACTGGGATAGCTAATAGTGATATTTTCGTACCAATTATTATACTTGACTAATATGCTCTTTTTTCACATCCATGTTTTATTTCCTTAGCATTAGATTTTGGCCATTTTTTAAAGTCATAAAATGTGTGCACTTGTAGGTTGAAGCAAGCTGGATTTGCTTTCCGGTCTGTGCTTCTATAGATATTTGATGGAGACGTTTCTAGTGAATTCAAATGGTTGTAATATTTTTCTCAAATTTTTGCCTTACCTTATTTGTTTCTTATAGTTGTGAGAGTGGAAGAGCTAAATAGGATTAAGTTATGTTTTGTTTTCTAATTAAACATAAGGCCGTAATAACAGTTGAATTTCTTTATTCTGCTTTCCCATCAGTCTGCAGCAGGAAAACCATGCATCTGAATTATATCCTGATTTAGCCAGAGTTGATGCACACATGTGGCCCTGTAAGCTGTGACTGCGACCACGCTATCAAGGAAATTCCTCCATCCTCCAGGGTCACCTCGGTAAGTTTTTTTTTTTTTTTTTATCAGCTGGTTTGTGCAGCTGCAATAGCTTCTGTTTCCACAACACATGCACAGAGTACACTGTTTATAGACACGCTGTCTCAGGATCTTCAGAGGTCACTGGTATCTGACATTACTATTTGTTCCCATGCAGGCCAATATATTTATCTAAAATAAGTATGTAAAATGTAGAAAAATGTGTTTTTCCTGTGTTGGCTTAAAACCCGCAACTTTTATTTATGAAAAACATTCATGTATGATCAATGTTTGAAATGTCACATCTTTTAAAGGCATACAGTATATTTTAGAATCAGGAAACAAAAAAATTTTAGAGTATGAAACAAGTACATTTATTGGCTTTCAAAGGGGAAGACAATTTCTAGAACAAGAAAAAGAGTTTTTTGTCACACCCTCTGAAGTAGAAGTTACTAATATGTGGATGATTTTGATGTGTCTGTAATGACACCAGTTTTATAATTTTGTTGGGAGAAAATAAACCACTGGAAATATAAAAAATGTACATGTGGTTGTTTACTGGAATCAGAGAAAAAGGGAGTAGCAAGAACTTTTGCTAGAAAGGTCATCGGAACAGAAAGTGTAAACAAGCTGGGAGGACGGATCTATCCTCAACCGTCAAAAACATGGTTTTTGTTGGAAACATTGTATTTGTTGGAAACATTTTATGCCTGAAACATTTAGACCTGTGAATTTAAAAGAAGGAACAAGCTGGAGCTGAGTAACGATAAAGTACAAAGTTCATAACGTGGCTAAAGCCAAACTGAGGTGAATATAGATGATGTTTGTGAGCATGAAGTTTATCAGATAACAACATCCTTTTTCTTTGTATTTGTTTCCAAGTCAAACATACAACAAATCCACACAATTGAGTTTTGAAACTTGCTTCTTATGCTGAATGTCAAATAACATTTTGTTGTGAGAAAAGTAATTATTGACAGCCTTAAAGTGTTTGAGTGGTGTGACGAGTGTTGTCCTTGGACTAATTAAAACATGAATTGATTTACATGGCGAAAAGGAGCAGTTTTACCATTACTGGATGTTTCCCTTTCATAAAATATTTTGGCAACTTTCTTTTGGAGAAATTGAGAGCATACATTTGCTGGCATCAAAGTAACAATGCTGGTCAGAATTGGAGCAGAAATAGCTAAATTTAACCTGAACATTGAATAGTTTGATGACAAAGTCTGTCCTTTCTTTCAATAAAGATATTCATGTCTTTATTTGCATATTTGCTAATTGATGTAAACCAGACCGTCTTATTTATTCTTTCCTACTGAAGTGTCATCAACTTTTTTGTTAAAACTGCAGAGAGATTAACAACAGATCAGAAGTCTACAGGGAGATGGCCACTGAGGGAAACCAAACTGAAGTTGGCTCTGCAGCAGCATTCCACCATGTTTCACCTCTATCCAGTGGGAGCAGACCCAGCAAACACGACAAATATGCAACTAATCTGCAGGAAGCAAGGCGGAGCTCTGACCAGCGGTGGCTCTCAAAGCAGCGGAGCTGTCCTTCACTCCTCCTCCACAGGAAGCCGTCGTGTGACGATGTCAAAGGGACTTTTTTGGACAAACATTGTGAAGAGTACAAGTGCAACTTAAAAGTCATCAGTCCCAAAGAAAAAGTGTCGAAGGAAGTCTCAACTGCTAAACATGTTGAAAGAAAAACTACGACATGTAGGAATAATTCAGAAGGACCTATGTTCCTGGACAGTGCAGAAGATAATATGAATGAAGGTGGAAACAAATCTACCAGTAGTCCATGCTCCTGTGGCATGTCTAGCTTTGAAAGAAGTATGAATTCTTGCTTATGTGACAACCCTCAGCACAGTCCTAGCCCCGGCTCCAGTCCTGTTCAACATTGTTACCTACGCCGTGGGAGCGTGCCTGTGTCCTTCCTGGCTTTTCGTAAGGTAGTCCAAACGTTTTTAATTCAATTTAATCTTAATTTGTGACTCATTTAGCATTTCAGAAAACTGCACCAGTGTTTTATATTCTGTTGTGCAACCTTTTCCTATTAGGGTGGTCCCTCCAGTGAGCCGAGCTCTTTGGCCTCCTCTCCCTGCGGCTCTCCCCAACTCTGCCTCCGCAAGCATCACAAGAACGGTCACATTTCTCTGTGCCAACTCAAAGATGGATATTCGAGTTTAGAGAGACTAAATAGAAGGCCCAAGATTAAAGAATGTTCCTTGGATAAAGTGTTCTCTCAAAGTCCGTCTCTGGAAATGATACCAACAGCACTGGAGGCATCTGCAGGAGGGGCCACAATCTGCAACAGTGGGAGCAACAGCAGTGGTGAGGAAGAGGGAGACATCCTGTCAGATAGCAGAGAGTTTGACAGTAAAAAACGTTCCACTGTGCTGGTGAGGCGCTACTGCAAGAATAATGAGAAGGTATTTACAGTCTTTTTTTTTATGGATAGCCCCTTAAAAAATCATTCATACCCCTTAAACTTTTCTTACATTATTACAAAATGTAGTGTAGTTTTTGGATTCTCTCCAAAAAGTAGTTCATAATTCTGAGACGTCGTTCTTTTCTTCCAAAAAAAATGTTGCATGCAGTCCTACCCCTAAAGAAAATTCAGTACAGCACATTGTCTTTAGAAGTCAGCCAGTTAGTAGAAAGACTCCAAACTATGCATGTTTTTCTTGTGGCATAAATCAAACTGTTCTGTGAAAGTTTGTTAGAGAACATCAGTGAGAAAACAGCATAATGAAGACCATGAGCCACACTAAATAGCTGTGAAGTTTAAAAGAGCGTTAGGTTCATTTGTCCACTTGTGTACATAAAACAGATAAAAATTTGTTAAAATTCTCAGAACTGAATCCAATAGAAAATCCCATGGAATCTTAGTTTGCACAAATTTGAACAATAAGCAAAAAATGAACTTTGTAGATGCATAAGGCTGGTTGAGGTATAAGTCAAAAGACTTGCAGCTGTAATTGCTGTGAAAGGTGGTTCATTTAGGTCTTGAATCAAGCATACAAATACACACCACACTTACATGGTTTTAGTGGTAGAAAATTAAAAACAAAGCAATCATTTCCTTCCAACTCAAAACTTCTTGCTATTTTGTGTTGGAATACCACATAACATCTCAATAAAATACATTGATATTTTTGTTTGTGTACTAACAAATGCGCTCAAGATAAAGCAAGTTTGATGATGTCTCTGATTATCTATTTGTATGTCTTTAATGAATAGATTTTTAAAAATTATTCTCAAATGCTTCCTCATTTCTTTCCATTAGGTGATCAAGTCGGTGTCTGCAGGAACCAGCGCAATTGTCAAAGAATTGCCGTCAGGTTGCATCTCAGAGGACACCTGTGGAATTGTTATTGAGCATGCACTCTGGCGTCCTCGCAAAGAAGATTTGTGGCCAATCTTGACACATGCAGAACATTTCAGAGTCTGCAGGGAGATGCTTCGTTCTGTCAGAGTGAGCCCACACCTGGTAAGAGCAGCAGATGGCATAGAGTCTAAGCTGGAAACATGTCATGATAACAGTTCTGAGTATTAATTTATCTAAAACTGAAACTTTTCCAAAATTGCGTTATACTCATTGTTATTATTTTGTTTTATTTTAGCACTGGTTTCTATTTTGAAACCTACTGGTCTCTGATAAATTACCGAAGCACATATAGGGAAGGTTTTAGGGAATTGAATGGATGTGCAGTCCTTCTCATCTCCTGGTGAAAAAGTTTTGCCCAACTCTTTTCTATACTCTGATAAAGCAAGATAAATCTGCAGAAAATTCCTGATTCAGGGGAGAAAAATGGTTCCCTGCTATTGCTCGCCTCTGTTTTTGTTGAAATGTTGTGCCTCTAATGCATGGAAGATGAATAATTTGTACAAGGAATACGTTAATAGAGCATGCACTCACACACACACACACACACACACACCGAAACACAGGCTCTTTGTTCATGCGAGGCCCCTGCTGTGGAAAATGATTTATTCTGTTAGTTCTGCTACCCGTATTACTGACAGACTGAATGACTGAGCCCTCTCTCTCTGTTTGTGTGTATGTGTAAATGGACTGAGCTGAGTTGGCATCTGTGTTAGATTTACAGCCACAGACATTGTACAGAGATGGAAGATGGAGGCTCAGAACGCTAGTGGGCTATTATCAAGTTTCGAAACAAAAAGTGTTTCGTCAACATGAAAACCTCTCACTGGAGCTGTTTCACTTTGGCAACAAGCATTTGGAGACCAGACTGCTTTTCCCCACCTTTCAGCAGAACACAATAAATGATAAGCCATGCTGTTCGGTCCTTGAGGAGGGAACGTTATTCATGGGTTGCCGATCAGCAGCATCGCACAGGATGCTCTCCTGTTGCTTTATTCCGCCTCTTCCTGTAAAAACTCAGAGCACAAGGAAAAACAAAAGCTCCAGGACAAATTAAAAACTCTGAATTATTCAAGGTTGTGCTGATGTAATAATTACACTTTGTCTGTTTTTTGTTGTAATGCAGCCCGAGAGAAAATTAGGAAAAACATTAAGAAGATGATAGTATGTAATAAGCCAGTAAACTAATCAACTATTTTTATTTGGAATTAGTTAAGCACATGTACATTGTTTTGCACAAGTATTTATATTTATATAAAGTGGACCCGTGGTATTCACAGGGATTAGGGATCAAAGCTCCCACATAAATAGCTAAAATCCCCCCTCTAAAAATTCCAATAACTGCCGATTTTGATGGTTCAAACACCACCACAACATACATTATGCATTAACATACACCGTGGAAAGTGTCTTAGCATTACCGCAGAAACTGACATCGACAGTGTTCCTTACTTCCATTGTTGGGCATACAGCCAATCTGCACAGCTCTCTTTAAATTGACAGCTGACAAACCTGAGATTTGGGTATTTTAGGTAGTGTAAGAAAAAACAGGCCTCACCGGGTGTTACTGCCATCAAAAATCACATTCATTTTGTAATGTGACTATCCTCAAGATAGTGCTTGAACTAGAGCTGGTTTAAATCTTCAGATCCAGCCCATTAAACTCCAAATATTAAATAATCATGGTCATACTTTATTCTTTTTTTATTGCTTTGCTTGGCCAAGACTCTGTCTCCTTAACACAGTTTTAGGAACTACCAAGTTTATTTCCATTCTGTTTGGAAATAGGCTTGGTAAAGTTTGGTAAATGTTTGCAGTGACTTTTTCAGGTAGATTTTTTTTCCCCCTCATGTCACAACCCCCCCACAATGAACTCTGGCGCTCCCCAAGGATTGCACACCCCACACTTTGAAAAGCCCCGGTCTATCACTTAAAATCCCAATAAAACCTGTTGAGACAGTGTGAGACAATCAAAAAGAGGTAGGAAAGTATTGCACAGCACTGTTATAGTTTAAGCCTTGCATAGGCCACAGCACAGCAAAGCACTGTGTAAAGCCTCCGGTGTGTGGAGGGGGCTTGCACACTCACACCATAAAAACAGAAGGTTAACACTCGTGCATGCCACGCTGCGGTTTTCTGACTTTGCCACGCTGGTTTTATGAACCCCGTTGTGGTCGTAGAAATGCAGGCTGAGGAAAGTTCAGGGAACATTGCTTTAATAATGAGCCTATTGAAAGCGGTGGAGTTGCTCGTTTTTCTCTTGCCAAAACAAACCCGAAGCTGCTTCGATACAGGGGTCACCAGAGAAACATATCCAAGCTACAGCTGAACATTCGCTGAACTAGATCTTGAAGAATATTTAAGAAGACATTGCAAAATATTTTGGGGAAAAAAACCAAACAAAAAAAATGAGAAGCTATTCGTGCACAGACAATTAAAAGTAGCATTTGTGGAAACACAGCTGGAAGAAACACAATGCTTGCTCTTTATTTTGGCTATTGGTAACAGATGGTGCCATAACAACCAGAGCATGCATGTAATGACATGCAAATCTAAAACATAGAGTCGAAGCAGCATGTTGGAGGCTGTTTACGGTGTTTTATGTCTCAATGTGCAAGATTCACGTCGAGTTTTTGGGAGACATCTTGTTTATTGCTCGAGGTAGTAAAGTAAGTCAAATAACTCAGGATAATTTGAAGCAGGGTGTTAGGGCCACAGAGGGGGAATGGGAATTTAAGAGAGGAAAAAGTGAAAAAACAAAACAAAACAAAAAAAAAAAACATTTGGAGAGAGATGTATTGGGGGAGGGTGGCCAGAGCCTCTAAAGAGAAGAAACAAGAAAGTACATTGATGATTAATTAAAAATGCCTGATAACAGTCAGCATTACCCTAAATACAGAGTGTTTTTTGCTTCGGTGCTGCTTTCAAACGGTGGCTCAAATCCATCATATAATCCATTGTATTATCTCCACACGTGTTGCAAAGTGGTAAAAATGTGACATAATTATTTCTCTGGATTGCAAATGGCTTTTAGGCTTGTTGGCTAAATACTACGCTTTTAACTCAAGAGCAGATGCAATAATACTTTACCCATTCCGCTTAATCTTGTGGGGCCTTTCATCAGTTGCTTTAGGAACTCTCCCAAAAGCTCTTTATGCCATCATTTGTCCTTTTACAGTGTAATTTATCCCACAGCGTATTTAACAGTACAGTTTCAGAATAAATTGCTGGTGTTCTTTTTGTGCTTAATTGTGCATCTACATTCTTTTTGAAATGAGGCATAACTATGTGGAAGAGACATTTAACACAGGATACAGAAGTGTTTTACTATTCTACACTGGTTTAACAGTGAAACATTCACATACACACACCTAGTGAAGGGCTCAGACAGCTTGAAGCATAAGGAGTTTTTTTGTTTGACCATGTGGAAACTGCCAATTAAAATGATGCTGAGTTCTTTTAATTAGCTTTGTAATGTAGGAGGAAGTTGTAACTACCTATCTTGCAAAAAAAAAAAAAAAAAAAAAACGTACTCACTTTTTTTCTGACATCACAACCACAAGGGTCAGATTGTTTTCTTAGATTTCATATGGTCCAAGGTCCAAGTGCACAATTGTGAAGTGGAAGGATAACCATTTGTAATTTTTCCTATTTTTCCCACATGATTGTGTCAAAACGGTGACATACATTTATCTGCGATAGGAATATTCAAGTTCTGCAAATTCTTACCACAGAATTTAGGTAAAATGATGCATACTATCTAAATTCTGTCAGTCGGGACTTTGATTGACTTTTGATCTGAACCATTCCACTGCAGCTGTAGCTATAAATTTAGGGTAACTTTCCTGCTGAAAGATGAGTCTCTACCTCAGCCTCATGTTTATTGCTACCAGGTTTTCTGTGAACTACTCTCTCCATCTTCCAATCAACTCTAATCAATTTCCATGCCCCCGTATCAGCATGAAGAATCTACACTGCATGATTCTGCCACCACCTCTGTTTGTTCTTTCAACAGTAACCGTGTTTCTATTACTGTTAATTAGTCACATTTTGAGTGGTTGAAGAAAATGACGAAATTCAAAATGAATTCCTCAATTTCTCAAAAAAAAAAAAAAATGTTTTTATGCTCACATTAAGTAGTTTTTGTTCTGTCCCGAAAGAGAATTAATTCACAAAATGGGCGATGGAAACATATTTGCCAAATAAGTTCTGACGTAGCAAAACTTAACCATCCACAGGTGAGTCTTTTCCCCATTAGAGGCACAAAACTCAGAAAAATTCAAGGTCCAAACTTCCAGCATGGAGAGGAGGATTGTAGCATAGAGTGACTGACGAGAGACCCTCCAGGATAGGATGGGAGCGCTGGGCTCTTTATTGTGAGATGTGTGGTTCATTTTGTAACCTCTACGTCCAAATTACAGCCAGCATAGCATCAACAGCCTGGTGGAGTTGCTCCAAACCAGTAGATGGAATCACATCTGATTAGCTTTTTACTTTTTTTTGCAACATTTCCCAAAGTTATCTTAAAATTTGCGTGATAGTTGGATAGAAACTTAGCTTGTGGCTTCTTCTTGTCACTCTTTCAGCTCTAGCAGATAAATACTATTCTTTCCCAGCATGTCAGCTTAGGTAAACATGCATGTCTTGCTAGGTTTTCAGTTGTTGCATGCTCTTTTTAATTTTTTCACGAATGGTTTTGCAAGTCACTATAAATGTATTTTCTTCCTATTAGAGAGTTCACAAGCAGTTTTTAGAATCAATGATGCATTCTTCCCTCAAGGGATGAGTTTTGCTTTCCTGTTTCTCTCCGAATTTCATGTCATAAGTCATTTAGCTGCCAGAATGTTTCATGTCTAAGATTATCTACGATGGAAAAAAAAATGTCTCGTGCTGTCTGTCACGCATTACCTCCCTATATTTGTAAAACATCTTAAATCTTATGGGAATTTAAGCGCTCAGACGGAGCTGTGGTTGTTTCTGCACATGACAAACATAAAGCCTGGTTACTGAACTGTTCTTTGGAAGTTTTGAATGGCGGTTTTGTTTTCTTTAAGTTGTTTCATAGCTGTCGGCTTTTTTTTTTAATTAAGGAATTAGGTATTGCGTTTTGCCCCCAAAGCTGTCTGTGTTTCTAACAACCTTAAGAGTTTTTTTGCTCATGCAAATTCTTAGGAATCTCTTGTATGTGTTCTGCTGTTTTCTGTACCATTTTTACTAAATATTGGTATGAAAACTACTGACTTGACTTCAAGTTAGTAGTCTCTAAATGTTTTTGTTTTTATTAATAATAATATTAATGCCATCTTGCCAAGTGCTGTTAAACCTACTGTTTGCTCTCCTGAATGCTATGTTCCCCTGAACTCTTTGCTAGTTAAACATCTATTTCATATAAATCAGTTTATGAGCTCAAATTAGACCTCATGTAAACATAACTATATGTTTATTGGTAGTTAGTGTTGCAAGATAAGCTGTCCAGTAAATGTCCGGTTTTAAAATGCTATAATGATGCCACATATTGGCATACAGTGAAGTTTATTGATTGGTTTTCCAGGTGCTTGCTACAGTAAATGGACTTTATTTAATTTCTTAGGTCAACAGGCAGTCAGTTGCCACTTGGATGGTTTTACTTTATCTGTATATTTGCATTATGTGACATTTAAATATGAACACAAGCTTCATTCAACTACATTTTCATCCAGACATACTGAATAGACCAGTTAGACACGCTGATATGAACACTGTAATTATATTTACATCTTCTCCTCATGAAATCTCCATCTTTGTCATTAAATTCCTCTTAGATTTTTTGTTTGTGATGTTTAACCATAGATTTTTTATCCAGTCGCACCCCGTGCTTCTGTTTGGGTGTAACAACTGAAAACCGATCGTGACATCAGCTAAAAACAAAAAAAAAAGTTTGACTTGTCTGAGCATGACCAGAACATTTTTGAAAGGTGGATATGTATGAGTAAACACTGTAGCTATTACAAAACACTTATTGTAAATGTCCTATTTCTGAACAAAAATGTTGATGCTTAAAGAATTTCACAATGCAAACTAATTGTGTCCCCAGTATCACGACACCTGTGAGTTTTATTTTAGTTCCAGCAGTCCTTTTTACTTGGTTAAGAAATCAGAACAATCAGTGTCAGAGTACAAATAGTTCTGTCTTTGATTATTATGATAAGGAGAGGCTAACGTCCATGCTTTGTCAGTCAGCTTGACAAAAAAAATCTCTATTAAGCAATCTCAAAAGCTCATAAAATACCTAAAATGTCATCATAGTTTAAAGGAGACTTTATCCCTCACTTGAACATCTTCTTAGGAGCACTAAACGTAAGTGAGGTAGATTAGCAAGAAAATTTCTTTTCCCATTGGGATAAAAAAAGTACTTTTGAATTGAATTCAACATGCTAACATTAGCCTTGTTGGCAAACTCTGCTTAGTGAGTTGTGGTACTATCTTTGCTAGGCACTTGTATGAGAGGCTTCGTCTGTAAAACAAGAACTACTCTGGAGTTCCTTCCTGTCCTACTTTAAATAAAGTGTTTTAAACATAGAAACAGCAAAGTGTTAAGCTTAAAGGACACCTTCATACCCATAGCCCATAAAAATAGCTTAGACTGCTCTGACCAGATGTCAGGCAGACAAACAATGAGATAGCGACATGAATTAAGAAAAAAAAAAGGAAAAATACTCAATATGATCTTAATTTTACATGTCTTGGTTTATAATTTCTTCTAAGTCAAATTTAATATCTTTAAATGTTCTGTAAAGACAACCTAATGAGCGGTTTTGATTGTGCTGCCCACAGGAACACACACATCCCTGACCTTCTCACATGTCAAACTCATTTAGTCTTTTTTTTCGG